CGATTCTACGAAACAATCCGACAGCGTTCTCATCGTCCCCCCTTCTTTCGCTTTTCTCGGCCTCGGAGACGCCCGAGATATGGACCATCTACGAGAACCTCCTTCTGGCCTGCCTGCGAACGGGCGACAGCCAGGCAGCACACCAGTGCCTCGAGAGGCTGGTGATCCGATTCGGAAATGAAAACGAGCGCATCATGGCATTCAAGGGTTTGGTGAAGGAGGCGGAAGCTGATAATGATGGAGAACTTGCACAGGTACTCAAGGAGTACGAGACAATACTAGGACAGAACGCGACAAACATTGTCAGTTGCTCCTCTGCCATGGTGTCACGGCAAACGCTGACCTTGACAGCCTGTTGCGAAACGTCGCGTTGCCCTTCTGAAGTCGACAGGAAAGACATCTGAAGCAATTGCGGCCCTCAATGGTCTCGTTGACTTCAACCCTACAGATGCGGAGGCGTGGGCGGAGCTTGCCGACTTGTACCTTTCACAGGGGCTATACTCACAAGCTATATATGCGCTCGAGGAAGTGCTTGTGCTGACCCCGAATGCATGGAACGTGAGTGTCTCGTAGAGTCGACTTCTGATTGTGTTTCCGACTGACCACGACTAGATGCATGCTCGTCTCGGAGAGGTATTGTACATGGCTGCATCGGCCTCTGAAGGCTCTTCACAGCAACAATTGGCGGAATCAGTCAAAAGATTCAGCCGCAGCATCGAACTCTGTGATGATTATCTCCGGGGTTACTACGGACTGAAACTGGTGCGTGCCATAGCGCGTGATAATGGACTGGCAATTGGGACTGACATGCTCTTCAGGTTACGAACAAACTTATCAAGGAACCGTCAAAGCCGTCGAGACAATCAGACTCGGAGGACTGGACCCTTCCTGACGTCGGTACGTTACAGAAGCTCAACGAGCTTGCAACGCAAAAGCTGGCCGACATTGTACGTCGCAACGGAGCGCATGAGAGGCTCTGGCAAGGTTACGATGAATCGGAAGTGGCAGCAGCCCGAGATCTGCTCTCGAAGGAGTCAGTGGACCTTGTGAGATGAGCACCGCGTCATCCGAAGACGAAAAGCAAACGACCCTGGATTATCTCACATCGTGACTGCATGGTCACATTAACGGATTGGCATGCCAACGGGCGTGCTTTATGCACATCATGTCAGGCGAGCAGCCATCATCGGTACAGGCTGTACGTCGGAATTAGCAAGCAATCGGAACATTCAAATCAAGTAGTTAACGAAGCTGTGCCTGCAACAAAACGTTCACGTGCTACTGGCAATACGCGAGTATCCTTGGCCCGTCGGCCAGCCAATCGCGGACATGTCGCTCAACATTGGAACACGAAGAGACATTCAGCGAACAGCGGATCGTGTCGCTCGGGCGCTATAGTGGCCGCAATCGATGTCGAGACGAAGCTTGGGAGACTCTCTAGCTATTGGGCAGGAACAAAAGCGAGTCTGGCAGTGGGGATGTTTCACAGATAGGCAGAGGCCGCCGCCAATACCGTCGAATGAATTATCTACCGCTCTCTTCTATTGCCTCGAGGTCCATCGATACCGCCGCGGCCACACCCGTAGTCGTGCCCAATTGTCGCAAACTGACATTCACTAGGTGGCAGAGCTGCATGTCATCCGAGGTTCCAGGCGTGTCGTTGGGAGCCCGATGGGCCAAGGCGGCCCACAAGATGCGCTGGCAGTGAGTCAGTGAGTTGATACACGGATGGATCTCAGGCACCGTCATTCAAGACCCTGGCTACCTATGCAGAACAGAGTGCGCCGGCGTCGTGAATTGAGACCCGTCGGGCAACGACGAAGCGGTTTCGGGCTCGAGGGTCGTTGGCAGAATGGACTGACGAAATACACCAGTGCCAATCAAGTTGCGCGGTTGCCTTTGAGGTGTCACTTATATATCCGGGCGGTGCCATGTAAGTAAGCTGAAGGCAAAAAAAAACAAGCACTTGTGTCGGTACCAAATTCTTTGACCGCCCCTGTTATCCCCGTATTTTCTCGATTCCTCTGGCGCTTTAGACGACGAAGAGAGAAGAATAAGCTAAAAGTTGAGAGACGCCGACGAGATACCTACCACAGTTCGGACCAGTCATCTGCAGAATACAAGCATTGTTACACAAACTTTGTTGGTCTGCTCGAAAGATCACCGCCGTCCATTTTTGGTTCCGCCTACGCTTCCAAACCATGTCGTGTATTTCTGAGAAGACTGTTACTCGTCGAATTATCAAGCAACTAGACAAGACCAAGTACCAATCACCCGTCGCGGGAGAAACCACCTGAGGATACGGGAGCGCCTGAGAATTTTTCGCCCAACATTGTGAAAGCTACCACTTTCAGTACCGCTGTTGAGATTGTGTCGATGTGTTGTCATGTGAAGCAGGCTGCGTGGTTGATTGCATAGGACTGCTACCGAAGACGACGGGCATGGAACGACAGGGGGTCCAACGATTCAACCGCAGTGGAGACTTCCATCGCTGAAGGTATACTTGGTACCTAGCGCCGTAGAGGGCGGGAGGACGGCTGGGTACGGTACCTTAGGTTGATTATAACCCGGACGTGAGCGGCGCTTTCAGACAGCAACCAACATGGAAGGCCGAGAATTCCAGAGGAGGCTGCGGCGCTTTCCAACGTCGGGTGCAACTCAAGGTACCTTGGTTACTCTGTGCTCCGAGAAACGGTGAGAGATTTGGGTGAGTAAGGAGACGTGAGGATGAGGGGGGGGGGGGCACAGCTGACTGACGGCTGCCTGGATTCCAGTTCATCGAAGTCACTGCGAAGACGAGTTACTAAGAGTGCAGGTTCGGGTGCGGGTGCAGGATATTAAAAGTGAGAAAGGGCAGGTTGAGGTAAAGTGAGGTAAGGTGAGGTAAGGTACGTTCATCCTCGACTTCCTACTGGTCCTTGGAACGGCGCAAGCCAAGTCGATGAGCCCGAATGGCCGGGCATTGGCTTTCGATGGCCCTAAAAGCAGGACGGGATGTTTCTGCACTAGGGATTGCGTACCCAAAGCAGTAGGTAACGAGCCTGTCGACACTTCCAGGTTCCATCTGCATTGTTGACGAGTGGTGATGACCTGCGATAGAGCAGAGAGGCCTCGTCTTCGCCCCCAACCCTCGTTCATCCCTCACACCCGTCCGTCGTCGCCCGTCCATCTGCCCCTCCCTCCCTCCGTCTCTGTCTCCCTCCTTGTTCCGTCATCCAAATAAATAGTTTGCGCCGCCTCATCCAGCCTGCTCACACTCACACATTCTGACCGCCGATTTCTCTGCCCTGCATTTCTGGCTATTTTTCTTGTCGCCGTCCAACGTCCCTCTATTCTAACACTGCAGTTCTAAGCAGCAGCACCAACGGCGTCAAAGGATCCTCGCGCCATTTTCGCAAACGAGACAGACAAAGCATACACTCCGTATTACTTTACTCCAGTACCCTCTCAACCGGAAGCCCCACCAGCATAAACGAACGTCTAAAGAGGTCCGTCCCGCAACGGAGCCACGCTTCGAGCACGTTCCTCACCGAAACATTGAACCACCAAAAAGTAAAAGACATCCACTCTTCCCCGGCCAGAACAGTCCGGCGCAGGACCAGCCCAGGCACGGCGCATTGAGAACTGACAGAGCTGGTACTTGGTAGTCGCCTGTGGGTAGGTGCATTCTCTCGGTACCAAGTCACAGTATCTCCTGTCTTCCTGACCTAATTGCCTTTCCAAGCCTATCCGAACCAACCTCGGGTCGTTCGAACTACCTATCACCCCGCCAAAGAGAGCAACCTAAATTAACACGAAGGAGAAGAGCACCATACGAATTACTCCGTGCTCTGTATCGCCGCATCCCAAAAGAGACGACCCTTTGCGTCTGATCTGCCATCGCCCGTCCCAGTCAGGTCTCAGGTCTCAGGTCCTACCCATCCTTCCTCAAAAAGGTGTCTCAAACCTCACCACACCACCACCACCACCACCAAAAAAGGGGAACCAAGTAAACAAGGTACGTGAAACGTTAGTTACGGTTTCCATCGTTCTTCTGGTCGCGCTTCAACTTTCCTCGCGTCTCTGCAATTCCTCACCATCCCACACCCAACACATTACTCATACCGACGCAAGTGTGTGGTGTTATCTCGTTCTTCATCTGTGTTTCCGTACCTTGACTTGGATTGCAATTCTCTATCTGCATCTTTGTCTGTATCCCCTGTCAAGAAGCTGTCAAGTGCCGGCTACCTGCAGGCGGTCCGCAGGACAACAAACTATCCGTTACCTCGGCCAGCTGCCGATGTCGATTGTGTTGTTTACTTTACATTTACCCCTCATTCTATTGTCGTCGTTCCCAGTACTGTTACTTGTGATGGTCGTTGTGCCTATCTTGTGGAAGTAAGGTACGGACAGCCACCCCAGACAACAATTGCCTTGGAGGCTCAGCCAACTATGTATGGACCAGCTTGTCAGTGGCTGTCTGGACTCATACACAATAGCGTAGAGGAGGGGCAACATGGCAAGTCCATGACACACCCGACATTGACGATTCTATGTACGGCCGACGCAACCCCCGGCCAGCGGAGCAGTGCTCACTGCTGACAGTCATTGAATGACAATCGACCACCCACTTTATTCTGTTAGTCCATTGGATCTGTCGTCCATGGGCCATGGCCCATCTCCCGGGGCACCCAAGTGGGACAACAAAGCAAGGGGGTCGAGACCGTCGCCCAGCCCAGCACCCAGCAAGGCCAGCACCCATCCCTTCCTCGTGCCCGCCTGGCGCCTCTCTTGGTATTCCCTTCCCTGCCCGTCCCCATACGATGGATGGGACCGATGGGTGCCTTTGGTGCCCCGTCCTCTCTCCCGTTTTCTCTGCCCGGCGATGGTCACGGCGTTTGCGATGCGAAGATCAGGGCTTCTTCTTCTTCTTCGTTCTGGCACCTCGGATCACTGAAGCCTGCCTGCACCAACCACAACTCTTGGTCAATTTGGCTTGTGCCCTGGTTAACGATTCCCTCTCACCTGACCGTTTTCCAAGTCCCTATTACCAGTACTTTCCTTAGCCTGTACCGCCTGAGAGCGGGCTGACAGGATGGGATGGGATGGGATGGCGGGGTTGGGTCGGGCTCGCCCTGGCTGGTCGTAGTGACCGCCAGAAGAGCCATTGTGTTTTTTTCTTGGTGTACATTCGCTTCCCCTCCACCCCGTCGCCCTCCCCTCCCTTCTCCATGCCTATTTTATCGTGTCTGTGTCTGTGTGTTCATTCCACATGATTCACCGGAATGTGTGCTGATCTGAGGCTTGTAGCTTAGGTGGTATCAGTACCCCCAAGGTGGTCTAGGTAGTTTGCTACTGCGTACTCCCACAACGCGGCACTACGGACGGATACGCCTTCTAGTCGCTACTCCGTAAAGTACCTAGTGCTTGAAGCCCGAGGACTGGTCCGCTGTGTCGACCGTTGCCCGCTTTTTGGTTTCGCTCTCACCGACAACCCCCGTCTGTCGGCTACCGGATCCCTGAAGACCAACCGCTTAATCAGGCAATTGCGGTGCCCAGCACGAGATTCCCTCTCCTCCCGCTCCGTCCAAAAGTGGGACGGGTTTCTTCCATTTGTCTGGCACCCTCACTTTTTCTCTCGACCTCTCAACCTCTCGACGCAGCAAGGTACTTCTGCTGTGGACATCGCATCGCATATCGCAGCGCAGAACATCACATCGCATCGCCATCCCAACAGGCTTTCTTCTCTAAGGATCTCTCTTTAGGGCTCAGAGTTGCCAATTCATACCGATTCGTCCAGACCTGGCTGCGCGGCTTAGGTTGTGCATGAGGTGTACTTCGTGCCTACTACACAGCACTCCTTCTTGTACCCCGTACGCCTTGGCTTTGGCCTTGTCTACCTAAAAGGTTGTCTTAAACGGAGCGGTCGACTAGACCCGCAATAGCTGCCCAGCTGCCACAATTTTCCTTGCACCCAATCGCGCTTCTTTTTGCGCCCAACTGCACGATCTCGCCAAATAGCAGGGGGCTTCCCTGGTTACATTCCCAAGCCCACGAACGAATATCCACCCACCGACTGCCGCCCTGCCCACCCCTCAATTTTCGCAAACCGTCCGTCTCGTCTCGACTCGTCCTGCAACTCAGTCCTTCGCACAGAAACTTTGTTTTCTTCAAGTCTGCCGCCGCCGTCGCCTCTCTTACCGCTCTACGCTGCTGTCATCTGATCGCTCTGCTTTGCTTTCAATCTTAACCGTCAACCCATCCTGTCCTCCCTTTCCTTCTTCCGCCACCAGTTCGTTTCTTGGAATCCACCCACCACCCTTGTGCGAATTGCGCCAGGACGAACGCTGTACCCGACCTACACACCATCACATTCGTGCCCTCGACACCGAATTCCTGTCGGTTTCCCATAGAGGAACCCTGACTTTCGCCCACCCTATTTCATCCCACGTCCTCGCTCGATTCACCCCTTTGCTCCGACTTTCTTGCGAGATCGTCGTGAGTAAAGGGTCTTTTTCTTCGCCACAGACTTCCTCATGTCGTCCGCGTAAGTCTTATATTTTCAACTACGCCAGGGACCAATCGACTTGGTGGCTTTCACCATACACCAGTCAACTAACACAACCGGAAGACGAGCACAACCATATCGACGCCCGGGTCATCTGTCGTCCGCGCCCATAGCGTCTCAATCCACCTCAGCAAGTGAAGACGAGTCGTACTACCAAGGCAGCCACCATCACGAAACTGAAGGTATCAGCTCCTCCGAAGTCTCGGAAACAGATTCTTCCATAGCAGACTCCGAGGATCTTGAACCAGACGACTCGGCCTCAAACGACGGTGCTCCCCGATACTCTCGTCCGGCGCTACCGCAACATCATCAGCAACATCACCATCAACAACATCATCCGCAGCAACAACGCGCAGTCCAATATCGTCAACACCACATCCCCCAACCTACTGCTCCTCCCCCCGGTACATCCATCCAATACCCGTATCGGCCCGGTCCAGTGCCGACCCCAACCGAAAGCCTGGATTCTAACGACGACTACGCGTCCCCCTTTGGCCCCCGTTCCGGCTACGGTCACGTACCGGCGCCTGGCCATGGGGGGCATCCTTCCTACTATGGTGGTCGTGGTGGTCACCCGCAGGCTGGCTACCCTCAAAGTCACGTAGGCGGCTACGGCGCCCCGAGCCCATACGGCCATCCCGAACCCCGGATGTTGGGATATGGTGGTTACAATCACAATGCCTTTTCACCAATGTCGAGTCACAGTGGGCAAAGCTACTTCGGAGGAGAGCCCGGACGATACGATATGATGCCGTACCAGCAACAGCACCCACCGGCCCATTACAACCCACACGGCTATCAACAGATGCAACACCACATGCAGTACATGGGCGGACAATTCCCTCCCCCTCCCCCTACAGAAGCACCGCAACCGTCCAAGACCCCCGCACCCGAGCCGCCACCAAAAGAGGACCCGGAGAAGAAGAAGCTCCAACAAGAACTCGAGCTATTCAAAAAGATGCAGGCTGAGAAGGAAGAGCAGCAGAAGCAGAAAGAGCTGGAGGAGAAGCTTCGGAAAGAAGCAGAAGAGAACATCAAGCGACGAATGGAGGCCCTGAAGGAGGCCCAGGAGCTCGCGCAAAAGGAGATTGAAAAGGCAAAGATTGAGGCCGAAAAGGCAGCCAGAGAGGCTATCGAGGCTGAACGCAAAGCCGAGGAGCAGAGACAAAAGCTTCACCAGGAAGCCATGGCCAAGGTTGAGCGTGAAGCCAGGGAGAGGCTGGAACGCGAGTTGAAGGCCGAGGCTGAGCGTAAGAGGCTTGAGGAAGAGGCCCGCATCAAGGCCGAAGCCGAAGCGAGGCAACGTCTCAAGGAGGCAATCCAGGCTGAGGCCGATGCCAGAGCCAAGGCCGCCGAAGAGGCCGAAGCCAAGAGAAAATGGGAGGACGACATGCGCAAGAAGGCCGAAGACGAAGCCCGTGCCAAGATGGAGGCCGAGAAGAAGGCAGCTGCCGAGGCTGCAGCGGCGCAAGCAAAGCTCGAAGCCGATCTCAAGGCCAAGGCTGAAGCCGACTGGATAGCCAAGGTTGCGGCGGAGAAGAAGGCCGCCGAGGAGGCTGCGGCGGAGAAGAAGAGGTACGAGGAGGAGATGAGATTGAAGGCCGAAGCCGCAATCGCTGCCGAGAAGAAGGCCGCCGAGGAGGCTGAGGCAGCCAAGAAGAAGTACGAGGAGGAAATGAAGGCCAAGGCTGAGTTTGAAGCTCGCACCAAATTGGAGGCTGAGAAGAAGGCCGCCGAAGAGGCTGCTGCCGCCGCCGCCGCTGCTAAGAAGGCCGACGAGGAGCTCAAGAAGAAGTACACCGAAGAGGCCAAAGCCAAGTACGAGGCCGACAAGAACAAGGGCAAAGACAAAGCCCCTATCAAGTTCAAGGATGCCGTGGGCAGGAAATTCAGCTTCCCCTTCCACTTGTGCTCAACCTGGACAGTACGTTTGCCTTACAAACTATTTGCTCTCGCTGGCGTCAAACTGACCTTGATTTAGGGTATGGAAGAGCTCATTAAACAAGCCTTCATTCACGTGGACGTCATCGGACCGCATGTACAAGAGGGTCACTACGATTTGATTGGGCCTAATGGCGAAATCATCTTGCCTCAGGTCTGGGACAAGGTGGTCGAGCCAGACTGGACCATTGAGATGCGAATGTGGCCCATGGATAAGGCGCCTCCGCGCATGCCTATGCCGCCGCATGGCATGCCGCTCGACCCTGCCACCAGAGAGAGGATGGCGCATATGGCAGGCATGAGGCAACACGGTCATGCTCGGATGGGTAGCTTCCCTCCGGGTATGGCTCCTCCAGGTGGCAGGCCTGGCGGCGGCGGCCCACAGCCACCTCCCCCACCGGGCTGGGTCGGTCCCGGCGCACGCCCCGGCGGTCACGGCATGCCTGCCAACATCGTTACGGTTGAGGGGCCCGGCAAGTCCTCTAAGCACAAATCCAAAGCTAAAGGCTCGATGCTCAATTTCTTGGCCGGCGGTGCTGCAAAGGCTCCCAAGAAGAAGTAAGTTACCAAATATTATTGCCACGCTGATGCTGTGCGCTAACAGATGCGTAGGAAGAAATGATCACCAGCGCGCATATCGGAACTTTCCTTGAACTCTAAAGACCTGTTATGATCACACACAACTCAACGAACTTGCCGGGCTGGGGGTCCTTTTTTGTTTTTACATATGATACCTTGTCGCGCCTTCTTTTTCCACATTATTCAGATTCCCGTCAGTCAGATCGAGCCTCCGAAATGCATCTTACGGCAACCACGGTTCATTTCGACGATCTTATAACGCATGTATGCCGGAGTATGAGCTGCGTGAGGGCGGGACACCTTTTGCCCCAGAGAGAGACCGTACATGTTTTGGCGGAGCATTGCATGCATCATGGGGGGCAAGCTAGGGGGACGACAATTTTTTTTTTTTTTCGAGGCATGGCGCAAAAAGAGGAGGACAAGACTGTGAGGCCCATTTGGTAGATGTTTATTCTTTTGGTTTATTCTTCTTGCACAGACAAGTTATGGTGTGGTAGATTATTGGCGACGAAAACGAACATTGCACTGTTTTATATATTCACTTCTTGACAATGACCTCACGACGACTTTTACTTTCTAAGCCTTTCCCATGCCTTTATTAGTCTACATGTTGTACAGCTCTTCTACAGAGAAGTTCGGGTAAGAACCCTTTATAGTCTGGGAGTACCCAAAACCGCCTTTACACGTTTCTGGAACGCCTCAATCATGACGCCCGCCACCTTTTCAGAAACCGCAGCGCTGACGGCCGAGTACAACGGATTCGCAAACTGGAACCGAATCACCAGATCCACCTCGGTGCCCGTCCCGGAGGCAAGCGGCCTCAGCTGCCACTTTGTAACCAAGCTCCTAAACACGGCGCCGCCCTCGCCTCCGTTACCGGGACTCGCACCCTCCACGTCGGCGCCGCTGATCGCCTCGACGCTTTTCCCCGGCACGCAGTGGAGTCTGCTCGTGAACGTCTCCTCGAAGCCGCCCCAGCCGACGCGGAGGTCGGCTTGCGTTGGGTACCGCCGGCCGCCGTTCGCCGGGTCCGGGTCGGGTGCGGACCAGGCTGTCACGCGGGATGCGGCGCAGTAGGGG